TTGGAATCAAGTTATGCGGAAGTAACTGGAAAGTCAAAAAGTTTGGTAGGAGCGTGCGGCGTAAAATTACCAATTTGAAGGATTGTTCCTCAAATTCTAGCGTCTATGCCATGGAAGTTCTATGTCATGAAAGTGGCTGGCCTCTTCAATGATTTGCGACGTACAATAAAGAACGGATTCTTTCTCTACAGCTCACGAAGCTTTGCTGAATAGATCGACGGCGATGAAGCTCTACAAACTTGCAAAACTAAACTGTGCAGAAGGAGGGTTACGGCAACTTTCATGAGGTCAGCAGCTGGCTCCGGTACCAAAAGGAACCGTCACACTGGGGAAGCACGCTTGACACTGCGTCAAAATCTCCAGCATTCTAAAAAAATGACTCTTTTGTACAGCACCTCATAGTACAAGGTTGCACATTCCATCGTTTCTTATTTCAACTTGAGAGATTTGGTTCAAGGCAGAATTTACGATGAAAAGTTAGCTCATTGGAAATAAGGGTAGAGGTGGTCAGTGGAGCAGGGATGAAGAAGAAACCATTGAAACGGCCCGAAACCCGAGAAATGGGACCCCTTCCTTGCCCGTTGATTTGCGCATTGATGCGATTCTCAATCGCTCGCCGTGTATAGACCTGCGGCGAGTGATTAGATAGTCGGTGGGCGTACCCCGCCAACCGCGCCAAGAGTGAGCCATGCTAGATCGCCGAGGTCAAATCTTTCGCTGCCAATTGCGCGTCGGTCAGCACCCTCAGGAGGTCCGCCTGTCTCCCAACTGTGCAATTTCCCTCGACCTTAGTTCTTATTGTGAATTCCTCCTTTTAGAGATACATGCTTTTGAAATTCGGGGTGGAAAAACAACAGAACTCTTCGAAAGAGCCAATATGTTGGTCACCTGCTACCATAGCGGGGCCATCTTCTCAACACTTCCTCCCAAAAATGTCTGCAAGTTTCAAAGAGTGACTGAATGGTGCTTGGGCACCCAAAGTGGGTGGTAGTTTTTGAGTGCTCAATCAGAACAACGCTAAGTGGTGCAAGACTTCGTAGCCCAGCTCTAGAAATATCTGGCGAATTTGCACCGCGGCGTTCAGAGGTGTAGTACTTTCCATAAGGGTGATGAACAGGTTGCGGCATGGGCGGTTCTGACGAGTTGGTCATCCAACTTCCGCAGTTGTGCAGAAATTCACCTCGACATTATGGTACAAGACTACACATAGAGCTTCCTTTATGATCCCTCTGATCTTAAGAATAAAGAGTCCGAAACGCAGCTGGTGTTCAAAGGAAAGGTCGCATGATCGAAGTTTTGGTACAGTATATGGAACACGGTAAAAACCCTGACTGATGTGCCCACCGGAATTTTGCAGTTGTTTACGACGCTATCGCAGTTGTTCACGACACTATCGCAGGCCAGCTATTCATAATTGATGTTTGTGTGCGTGCAGACAGGTAACCAGGGCTCAAATAATGGTTGACATCTACCGTGATTTCATGGTCATCATTATACACAACAAAATCAATACAGTACGCGCTGCAACTCGTCCGCTGTCCTGTCTGCTTTCTGCCTTCTCGCCGCGCGACGGACCTCCTGTCGTAAACCCATAACCGGCTTGATCTCGAAACAAAAGACGCATTAAAGGAATCTTCCACGGACCCATGGACCAGTGGGCGGGACCAGAATTGGTTTTGCGACGAGAAATGTATGGTAGGCAACGTTCATGGGAAAGTCTGAAGCAGGGTGAAAATCGTGTCGAGTACGTGGTCGCAGAGGTACGACCCCCCCCCCCGAAATCGAGATCCTGGCACGACCCCCTCTAACAGAGCAAATTAATTCAATTAAAATAAATCCTGCAAAACAAAAATCAAAAAAAATCAAAACAATCAAAAAAAATTCTGCAAAATAATGCTAAGGACGCTTCATCTTGTCATCTATGCACGTCTTCCATCGCTGCATACTTTTGTGTACATACTGAAATATCGACTCGAGGAAAGAGGCATTAACTTTGTGTGACCTCAAGGCGAGGTTCGTTCAGAAACGCACAGAAATCCTGAAGACACGGGGTTGCGATTCAATCTTGATTCTTGCTTGAGTATATCAAAACAGCCGAGTGTATCAAAGGCCGATTCAACGGCAGCTGCGGCGCGATTGTCACTGGGTCAGATTTGCCGAAATTTCAAAAAAAAAACGTCCGAATCTACACCCTCGATGAAAAGGTTGCATTCCTCCATTTCACAACCTTTGAAGCAGCTTGAGGTAGAGTTAGATAGAGCTGGATTTCGCGTTTCCAACAAGCATCGAAATTGCTCTGGAAGCCTTCCTTGCAGAAAGATAGGGTCTGTCAAATTTCGTCGAGTAAATGTCGAGGAGGCCAAATTTTCACGCGAGTTTTTGCCACTTCAAGAGCAATATATCTCTTATATTGTAAGATCCTGAAAAAGGGAAGATAGTTTTGGAAAGCGGAAGGTTTGCGCTTCCTGATGGTCTGTTTAGTTTTCTTCTACAGCTTTTTGGTTGAAGAGATAATTGCGTCGAGGATCTATCGAGGTCGGATCCGGCCACCTGGAAATCCGCTCCCTCATTCACCATTGCAAGTGTGACTCGTTGGCAACACTCGGAATGTGTCTAGAACAATATCTTTGAACGCAAACAATAAGAATAGGAGCAATCGTCATCATCCGATTTGGTATTGGTATAAGCCATGCATCCCTCCTCCACTCACAGTTGCAGAATCGATTGAAAGGTGTTATATGATGGGGACCTTCGAACGAAACTGTATTGTAGTAGACATAGTGTGTTGTGCTATTCCTGTAACCTAAAAAACAACTTCATTTGCCCAGCGCTTTTTCTTCACGGTTGTCGTTTTTCCGACAGGGTCCCTAACAACAGCGTCATTCTCTCGTGTCGCGACCAATACAAGTCCCGAAGATCTTGCTCGCATCGGCGGATGGGACCTTGGCCACGCAGAATGTGGATATTATAAGGGTCCACACACCCTCCAGGGGGGATTGTCACGCCAGAATGCTTTGAGGCAGCCAAGTGCTGCAGCCTGCCCCGGGTCTTACTGAGGCCCTTGCAACCCCCTTTGCTGATGACAATATTGACCGTATTGACCGTGATAAAGATATTGACGATTAAACGTGTTAATTATTGCTACATGACAGAACGCAAGGTTATTACTACTTTTATGACAGATATCTACAGACATATTAAGGCAACTAATATGACATACACGATAACACGGTTAATGAGACAGAGAGGAGAGAATGAGATGAAGAGGACTAAGAAAGGAGGATGAGAGAGAATGGCCGGATAGACTATTAACGAGGGGACTAACTGGAAGAAGGCATACTACCGGTCCGCCGGGCTTGAAGATGACATAAAGGCGGAGAGAAGAGAGCTGATGACTTAAGGCGTAAAGCTCACACGTTGTAGACTTCTCCGCAACCGGCTACTCGGGACGAACCATTCACAGCGACGACATGACGCAACACTGACGTGTCGAGGGCGCGCGGCGAGAGACGACAGACGTTAGCGTATTTTCTCACGCCGTTGGCGCCGGTCCATTTGAATCGTGAGAAAGCGTTCAATCGTAGCACTGGAGCGCAGTTTCCTTCCGGCGCATACCATAACAGATCCAGGTCGTACGTAAGTCACGACACTCCGGGCGCACAAGCGAGATGCGCCGATGGAAACAAGCGACGTTGACGTGACTGGAGGGGCAAGCCTACCGACCAAAAAGAGAATGACAAAAAAGGATACATCGAGAACATTAAAATAAGTGACTGAAATAAAATAACCGTGTAAACTTCAATGGGGTAAGTGACTTGAATAATAAGGAGAAAGATTACATAGTAAATGAGAGAACAAGAAATAAAATACAAAACACAACAAAAATATATCACAACTAACTGCAATGGCGGTGTTGACGGCAATAACGTTGAAGACAGCGTTGACGTTGACGATAACGTTGGCAGCGATGACGTTGCTGCATAGCACACTATCCACTTCGTAGAACCATCGACCACAAATTGACTTGCACGGCTTGACGTTGACTTGGCGTTAACGGCTTGATGTTGTGAGAGGAAAAATTTACCTACTGAGCGTGTTTTTACGCCAAGGGTCTTACGAAAGGTGCGAGAGAGAGATGGTGAGTCTCGCTAGGCCAATTTGGTAGGGGGGTCGAAAAGCTCCCAAATCGAAAGTGCACAATTTTGGAAACAGCGATCTCTCAACGCTGTATGGGGTAAGATCTAAATTCCCATACCCAGTCAGCAGGGTCATTGCAGGAAGTAGTGAAAATGAGACGATCTTCCGGTCGAACTAGAACCGTGGATGACGAATATAGTAGTTCTCGTACAGGACGTACATGGCGTCGAAGAATGATCGAGAATTTGAGCCGATGTCCCTTTCAAGATAGTGACTATGGGGACAAAGTGCTGGATGATGGTCGTTAGCGTCGCACACTCGGCATCTTATATCGCGACGACAATAGCCTGGCGCGTGAATATAGAGGCAGTAGAGGCAACGTCCTTCGGCAACTGCTCTCAGGGCTCTCTCAGTCAGACTTCTGATGGTGGAACAGTCTGAAGAATAATGGGCAGCGTGACAGAAGCTGCATGTGATAGTCGAAGTCGAACGTTCCGATCTTCTTTCAGAACTGCGTGAGGTTCGTCGTCTGGAACGCATGTCGACTCTGATTGGAGAAGAGCGACGAGAGTGGCTTCGTCGGGCAGTACGAGTAGTTCTTCTAGATTCGACAGATGGTGAACGAGCTCTAGTCGACAAAGTAACTGAATAGAGTGGCTCGTCTTGTGCTGGCGTCTGAGTAGATTGGCCAACCGTAGAGTAGGAAGGAATAGGAGTTTGGGTAGAAGAGGTAGCTGAAGACAAAGTAGGAATAGGTGAAGTAGCTGCGTGACGAACAGTTGGAATATCGTCGACCTGCATAGCTTCGGCAGGTGATAACTGCAGCATTGTCAAACCATGAAGACGTGCGATTGCCGAATTGATCTTCTTCAGATTGAGAATAGCTGTGGCTGTCTCTGCAGAAGCTGTCGCACAAAGTAGCTTGATATCTGCAAACGTAACAGCGTAATAGTTCAGAATATCGACAAATCGCTTATTATCCTCGATGGGGTTGAGGACTCGAGAAATGATCAGATCAGTGAGGGTATTCCTGTGCGTCTGGATGTTGTAGAACAGCGTCAGATACTGCTCGTATAGCTGGACAAGTTGTTGCTCCGATTTCCAATATTCAGGGTGTCCGGCCAAGTCGTTCGTAAGCTGTCGCATCTTTTCATTGGCCGAATGGAGTCCTTTGTAGGCCTGCACGATTAAACAGATGGAATATTCCTGAGCAGGCGGATAGTCGATGTCTCCTGGAGTCGGCACAATGGATTCTTCAACAATCCAATCGCGAAGTGTGGCGTAAAACGCGTGTCGTAGAAAAGCATCTACCATGACGAGATCTCTTGTAGCGAGCTGCTCGATGCTGAACGTATAGTCGAAGTTGGCTGCAATGGTCAGCGACTGAGCAATCTGCAATGATAGCCTTTCTGATGGTGGAAGGCTCTGATCCTGAGAAAGGTCATCAGCTGCAAGCGAAACATCCGAAACATCGAAATTGCCTTTCGCGAATTCAGAAATGATTTCCTGGGGCGTCCGAATCCGAGTAGGACGACGGGATGGTGCAGCATTCGTCGGATCAGTATGTCGCGGGTGGAACATGGGGCGATAGCCAACTTGATTCGAAGGAACAGCATGAGAAATTCCTTGCAACTGGGCAATAGCAGACAGCAATAAAGGATCATAATCCCGAGAAGATGCTGACGACATGGTACAAGAGACTGAAGACGTTGTAATGGTAGGCCTTACTTGCATCGTCGAAGTAGTCGTGGATGGAGTGGTGTCCATTGATGTTGTCGTTGACGCATCCATCCGTTCCATAACGTCGTAATCGATATTGAACGTGAGCTGGCAGTACTCTGCTTATCTGAAGTGGAAAACTTGAGTGGCAGAGCACCGTAAATGAAAAAAGTTGTCACGTTGTATCGATAAACGATGATGAACAACAAATTGAAATCCTTGGGCACGGCTGCAAGATGTAAATTGGCACGGCAGCACGATTTGCCTGATTCAGGGTTGATACTGTAGTCGTAGGCGCTGGAGCGCAGATGTTGTAGATAAGACGGGGTGCGCTGGGCGCCAACAGGGGTATCGATCAATGATGGAATTAACTGCGTTGAAGACGAAAATAGGATATGCCTCAAAAGGCATAGAAACGGTGTGGCGTTGTCAATTATTGGACTGCTCGGGTTGTCTCGGCTTTATATAGCGATGGGTGGACTTAGCTGTCCTCGTCGGCTGGATACGGCTGGGACTCGAGCTGGTAGTATCCTGAGGTGGTGCTGGCGCGCTAATCTCGAGAGGGTAGAGATGGTTGATCGACCTCTTGACATGATTACCGTTAGGTAAGCGGATAGTAGCGCTTCTGGGCACACGGTCTGACGTATAACGAATATGTGTTATGACCGCTGGTGTCCATTGTCCACGAGGTAGCTGCTTGTCGCCGAGTAAGACAACTTCTCCGAGATATGGTTGACGTGAAGTTGTTCGTCCTTGTCGAATACGAGGTGTGTGTCGTTGGGCAAGGGCGTTAAGGTATTCCACGGACCAAGCATTCCAAAAATGGTCAAGAATTGACAACGTAGACATATACCATTGAACGAGCTGATGTTGAGTTGCGCTCGTATTGAGGTGTATCCTGGAGTTCCAACTGAAGTTGAACTTGGGGTGAGATGAAGTCTATAGGACGTAAGAATTATAGGCGACTTCACGGTATCCGATATGGAGGTGAGAGGTCGCGAATTGACGATAGCTTCTATCTCACAGATAATCGTGTGGAACTGCTGTAGTGGAATGGAGGAGTGTCCAATCGACTTCCGAAATGAGGATTTGACGAGTCCAACTAGTCGTTCATAAAATCCTCCTTGCCACGGAGATAGTGGCGTAATGAACTTCCATTGAATATGACGGCTGGATGAATAGTTGGAGATAAGTTCTTGCAGAGTATGGTCTGCAGCACAAAAGGTGGTAGCATTGTCGCTCACGATGAGGTCTGGAGAGCCTCTTCGGGCGATGAATCGTCGAAGTGCTAACAGAAACTCTTGGGCAGTATTGTCCAATACGATCTCCAAATGGATAGCTCTGGTTGACATACAGGTGAACAGAGAAATCCATAGCTTGGACGAGGTGGTAAAGGTGTCCTTGTATCGAAAAGGACCAAGGTAATCCAAACCGATATTCTGGAAAGGTCGTGATCTTCGAACTCTTCTCCGGTGGAAGACTAGGCATTTCCGGGTATCGATAGGGCAATCCATTCGTCTTCTTGCAGATAACGCAAAGTCGTAAGATTTTGGCCACGGTGTTCCTGAAGATGGAATATAGTAGGAACGTCGAAGTGTGGCAATAGTGGCATGAACTCCCGAATGGAATTGGGAAACATGGACATGGCGTACAATAAGGGTGGTTAAGGGATGAGACGGAATTAGAAGTACAGCTGAAGACGATGAACTGTATGCATGCTCCATGCGATGCGGACAACGAATAAGTCCGTCTGACGAACGGTGGGCATTGAATCGATGGAGTGGCATACGGTTAAGAAGCATTTCGCTTTCTCGGTAATGTTCCTTGAGAAGGAGAGTTTCGGCAGCAGTGTATTCTGAGGCAGAGATATCCTTACTCAGGCGGAACTGTGTCGCATCAAAGATGTTCAGAGTAGCCTTGATCTTGTTGGCTAAATGTGCGACAAACTTGAGTGCATAGACTGTGGATCGAACTAGTCTATTGTACCGGCTGGTCGTTCGAAAGCGAAGCGGTGAGATGTACTGAGGTGATTCCGACACCGCAAGTGCTTGATATTCGTCTTGTACTTCATCGTCGTTCGCTGGTGGTTCTGCGAAATCGTGACGTCCTGGCCATTGTGAAGTTGGCAAACGCAGGAATGAAGGTCCTGTCCACCAAATGTGGTCCTTAGCAGAACTGGACGAAATTCCACGTGACGCACAATCAGCAGGATTGTCACCGGACTGGACGTAATAGAATTGTACTGGGATACATGCGGAGCGTAAATGTTCCGTGATGGCTTGAATCTCCGTTATTCTGTTCCTGACAAACGTGCGGAGTTGGCGCTTCGAATGTATCCAATGTAGAACTATCTGCGAGTCCGAAAACACGTGTACAGCTGTTATCTTGAGGTGTAGCTGTGTATGGACAAAACGGACAAGTCGCAGACTGATCAGCATGGCTAATAATTCCATACGTGGCATGGTGATCGATTTACGCGGTCCAAGTAAGGATTTAGCCATAAGAAGATGAATCGTCGGTGATGAACTGGTACGGCAAAGGAGATATACGCAAGATGCGTACAGGCGTTTAGAAGCATCTCCAAAGACGCAAAGTTCATACTCTATCGTCGAATCGGATCGTGGTACAAGGCAACGAGGAACTGATGGAATAGGAATGGTAAGGTCCTCGGCAAGCTGGTTCCAACGAGCAACATCTGCGGCCTCAAACGGATCATCCCACTGGTAGGATTTGGCCCACATGTCTTGCAAGAAGATCTTAAACGGTGCAAGAAAGGGCGATAAAAGGCCTAAGGGATCGAACGTAGAGGCAAATGCTCTGAGCGCGGTACGCTTCGAATTGACTGTCTTCTTGATCGTCTTAACCGGAACACGGAGGGTATCCTTGACAATGTTCCATTGGAGTCCTAACAAGGGGACTGAAGAGGAATATGCCATACGATCGCGAGTACTGATGGCATCGTTGACGTAGGAAGAATTCGACAGGAATTGGCGTAGATTCATGTTCATAGAAACGAACAACGCTTTGGCATCCTGGTACTTTCGTATCGCTTCTTCCTCAACGGATGCTCCCAATACGATATTGTCGACGTAGGTGTTATCCTCAATCTCCTTGTTCAGTTTCGATGATGGATCACGACGTAAATAATGCAGTATAGAAGCTGCAAGCAGAAATGGTGACGCCGTTATACCGAATGGAACTCTTGTAAATCGGAATATCCTGAGGTTAGTCTCTGACGGCGGTAGATTCGGATCCATTAGCCATAGGAATCGTGTGGCATCTCTTTGACTAAGTTGAAGTCTAATTTGTAGGAAGGCTTTTTCTACATCGGCTATAAGAAGAATTGGGCTAAGACGGGAACGAAGAAGAATTACCAACAAGGTCCGGAAGGATGGATGGACCGGAATGGAGACAATCGTTAAGGCTAGGGGCTCCTTTGTAATGAGAGGAAGCGTCGAAGACAACTCTAAGCTTGGTTGTAGCTGACGACTCTTTGATTACTGCTTGGTGAGGAATATAGTAGACTCTGTGGTCGTCGAAATGATGTTCATCGACTTCCTCGATTATTCCTTTGTCCAGGTAGTCGTCGATCGTCGAAGCATAGAGTTTCCATAGATCCGGTTTGATGACGAGGGATCTGTACTGACTTTCCAAACGCTTCAATGCAAGGAGCTTATTATCAGCTAGTCTTGGATGTGAGGTCCTCCACGGAAATTGCACATATAAGTGTCCATCAATCTCTTGCACGGTATCTTGAAATCGTTGGAGTATTCGGGCATCTTCTTCTTGGTCAAGGGAGGGATCTGGATCATCTGTGATACCGATGACGTCTAGATGGTCAAAACGGGAAACGGGATCGGCATCCTCATAGGATGAAGCAGAGGGGGAAATAGGGGTTTCAGTGGGAAATTGTTGTAGGAAAGCCACGAAAAAATTTTGATCCAGAAATGGTTGGACCGAAACGCGTGTGACAGAGGACTAAGCCTGATGGCAATTGCTGAGGACAATCCGATGTAACGATATCCCAGAAATAGTCGATTCCGATCAAGATATCTGGTGTAACAGTGCGGCTCACGGTGAGAGAATCGAGCCGAATATCGAGCGACTGAAGGAATTCTTTGTCCTGTTGTGAAAGTCGGACAGGTGAGCATGGAGTTGTAAGTTGCTCTTTGGTACGCAGAATAAGTTGAAGTTTTCTTCCTTGGTCGTCGATAAGTCGGACATCTGCCATACCCGATGGCTCTGTTGTACTTATTGCTCCGAATGAAACGGTCGTAAGCGGAGTAATATGTGAAACCTCGATATGGAATTTAGTGACAGCATCCTGTGAAACGAAACTTCTTTGTGCACCAGTGTCGAGGAGAAGGATTACTGGAACAGGAGTCTTCTTCTGCGCATCGACAATGGAGGCTTCTACTGTCATGAGGCTGGAAAAGGTGGAATCGTTCATGGCAGTAGAAACTTGCGTCTCAGACGGTCTTTCAGATGGCGTATGAGTTCGTCGTATTCGTCGTCTGAGTTCGTCGCAACATAAACAGGAGAATCCTGATGTGAAGTACGGTCTCGTCTATTAGCGTCTCTGTGAGGAGAGATATCTTCACGTACTGGAGATCTGAAGCGAACAGTATGGTGTTGCGAACGTTCAGTCCTGTATGACCTTCCATGACGCGATGTTGGACTTCTGTCATAGGAATGTCTTGAGGAATAGGGACTAGAACGGAATGGTGAACGCGATGATCTCCTTTCGCTGGATGGACTTCTCATGTAACTACGTGACGAGCTCCTCGAGGTAGAGCGAGAACGACTTGATTGATAATTCCTTCCTCGAACGGGGGAGTAGGAATTCCTTCTGCTGGAGTGAGTGCAAAGAAGGCGATGGTGAGAACCGTTGCAACGAGGACAATTGGAACGGTCACAGGTACTGCTGACATGTCCTTGTCGAAGGCATTTCCAACACAGACGTAGGGCATTGACAACAGCGCGACGACACATTGGAAACATGTGATAATGGCAGCGTGTTGAGGCATGATTACGTGAATAGCAGAAACAACACGTGCTTGGGTCGTACCAAGGCTCCGGTGATGGTGTTCTGGAGCGGGTCGTGGCAACAGGATTGATATTGAATTCTGAAGAAGGTTTGACTGGATTGTAGTCGTCCAACTTCTCGTATTCCTCGATAACTTCGTTCAATCCATCAAGAAGTTCTGGCAGCGTCCATGTCTTGCCTGATCGATGTTCCATCTTATTCACTTCCAGCTGGGTTTCCTTCGGGAACTTCTTCTTGATCAACTTCATGAGAGCCAAAGAAGTCGTGGTGTCTTCGTAACGGTTGAGTTGCAAGATAAACGACTGGATCTGGCAAAGGGTGTCACGTTGATTTGATGATGCTGAAGACGATGGTGGTAACTGCTCTAACTTGTGGTGGAATAGATGGTGGGTGAACTGTGGACGATCATATCGTCTCCTGAGCGCTTGGATGGCCAAATGATAATTGTCGGATTTCGAGGGATCGTATCCTTGAATTATCAACGCAGCGCTTCCTTTGAGCGAGTTCGTCAAATAGATGAATTTCGTAGCCACCGAAAGAGCATCGTTGTCGTGAACAGCCGTTCGGAACCTGCACCAGAAGTCGTTAAATTGTGCAACGTCTCCGTCAAACGTGGGTAGCTCTACACGACGAAGTTGAACCGGTTGCAACATAGACACATCTGCATCGTTCGATGGAGTCGCAGATGGTACGTGTCGAGGAGAGTCCTGTCCTTCATGCGGTAACGAATCACTTGTGGGACGTGGTGATTCTGCAACAGCCAGAGTAGCTGTAGACGCAATCATCTCCTTGTTGAGCTGCGATAAAAGTGAAGTCTGGATGTTCTGGTCCATAAGTAGTTCAGTGTCGAGGGCCGTGATCTTATTCTGTGCTTCGTCGATAATCCTGTCTCCTTGCTGCTCTGTCCAGAATTGATCGATATCGGCATTCATTTCCTCGTGATCTTTATGAGTCTGAACGTAGAACAGCACGGACTGGTAGCGTGATTTAAGTGTCGTAAGTGCTTTCTCAATTCCTGCTTTAGCCGTCGTGATGGCTTCCTTGCGACGTGTGATGGTACGCAAGTTGAATTCTCCGGCGTCGCATTCGTGTCGATAGGCGACAAATAACTGGAATCGAACACAGAAAGCAGCTTAGAAAGCATACCAATTGCAGTAGTTATTCTCGACTTGTGTCCTTGCAGTGTAGACATAGCGAACAGCGTACTTGAGAGTAGTTGAGCACAGCCTACAAGGCAGGATCTGGGAATACTGCAGAACTGCAACAGACAGAATCGACGTAATCATCACACGCACGGCACTGTATGGACCATCGAATAACTTCACTTGTCGATATTGACACGCTGACGACAGAGGGGAAAGGAAAGGGGGGAAAGGAGTAAAATGAGAGAAAGGATAGAGAGAGTGACAAAATGAGAAATGAAGCAAAGGGGTGAAGAGGCTGAACATGTGCCAAAAAAGACATACTGGGACGACAAAGAGTGGGGGAGAGAAAGAGAGAGGAAGTGGATAAAGCATGCGAATAATAAACAGACAGCTAATGTGAGGAACGTTGAGTCCTGGGGAGACGCCACGGTCTAGCGCATGCAAATACGCGGTTTGGGCCAACATGAAGACTTACATGACATCCAATGCTCGTAGTGGCCTTGGCTTAGCTCACTGCGCCGCAACAGGCTAGCCAGGAGCTCCGCGCATACAACTGGTTCCTGTACTATTGGCGGGGCCGCACTCCACCAAGGGCACCCATGCATACCCAAGCTGCGATATTTGCAGGGCGCGTAAGGATCCCGCACTGCTTTCCCAAGGCGCCTCCCGAACAGTGCGACCTGTTAGGGTACTGAGGGGACCCCTGCCACTGGTCCCGACAGTAACACTGGACGGGCAATGGGATGAGGTATTGGGACCCAGTTGTGGGCAATGGGACGCGTTACCCACGCGAGATGCCTGTTGAAAATGCGCTTGTGAACCCACTGTGTTAACCGAAAAATAGTTAACTGCGCACAACGACGCTTACATTTTAAAGGGAGGAGGATGATGCAATGCAGTGTTTGACCCTGGGCGCGACGAGAAGGTCCGATCGCAACAGCCATGGCCGTCTTTCGACGACGATGACTGCGGCCCGATGCACCAATTCTGTCGCGACCAAGTCCCGAAGATCTTGCTCGCATCGGCGGATGGGACCTTGGCCACGCAGAATGTGGATATTATAAGGGTCCACACACCCTCCAGGGGGGATTGTCACGCCAGAATGCTTTGAGGCAGCCAAGTGCTGCAGCCTGCCCCGGGTCTTACTGAGGCCCTTACAACCCCCTTTGCTGATGACAATATTGACCGTATTGACCGTGATAAAGATATTGACGATAAACGTGTTAATTATTGCTACATGACAGAACGCAAGATTATTACTACTTTTATGACAGATATCTACAGACATATTAAGGCAACTAATATGACATACACGATAACACGGTTAATGAGACAGAGAGAGAGAATGAGATGAAGAGGACTAAGAAAGGAGGATGAGAGAGAATGGCCGGATAGACTATTAACGTGGGGACTAACTGGAAAAGGCATACTACCGGTCCGCCGGGCTTGAAGATGACATAAAGGCGGAGAGAAGAGAGCTGATGACTTAAGGCGTAAAGCTCACACGTTGTAGACTTCTCCGCAACCGGCTACTCGGGACGAACCATTCACAGCGACGACATGATGCAACTCTGGTGACGTGTCGAGGGCGCGCGGCGAGAGAGACGACAGACGTTAGCGTATTTTCTCACGCCGTTGGCGCCGGTCCGTTTGAATCGTGAGAAAGCATTCAATCGTAGCACTGGAGCGCGGTTTCCTTCCGGCGCATGCCATAACAGATGTCCAGGTCGTACGTAAGTCACGACAATGCCTTTATCTACTGCTATCCGTGCATTTAAATATTGTAACCGTTGTTAAATATCACTGACTCAAAAATCCATGAAGATCGCCATAAAGTGGATCAGTAGCACTTACACGATGATCCAAAATATCTCTTATGGTGGTGTTCCCTTTGCCATTTTTGCTGAATTCAGGCCAAAATGTGGACACCTAAAAGACAACAAACGGAAAATGTTCATTTGATTCGGAATGAAGCGTTTCTACTTGGATTGTAACGTGCTCCACCACAGCATAAATCATACCGACTACGCTAGTCGCTTCACCACGGCTCTTAGCCCCTCGGTGGTTCATGCTGATCGAGGCTAGCGTCAAGTGCGACAGGCGTGCACTTACGCAACACTTGTGCGTTCCAGTTATAATTGAAAGAGGAATTGCGACGAGAAAGCAGCCCAAAGTGTGAAGTGGTCAGTGCGTCCAGAATGGAACACCGTCATAAACCGAGCACTCTCCGAAAACCCTCTGCTGAGCGTATTCCGCATTGATGTGCACTCTCATCAGCATGCCACCCTCCTTCATCGTCGCTCTATTGAACGGCTAGTGAACCGCGAGAAAAGCTTAACCATCGATTCGCCCTTAAGGGGGAGGGTTTGCCCTTAAGGGCATCTTTCGCTGCGGATGCCTGGGGTCGCCTCAGTGAGAAGTCATCACTGTCTTTCTACTAATGATCCCCTTCTCAACCTTTCATCGCGGAATTCCTCTTTTAGTACCAAACGCACCATATCCCAACTTCACCGTTCCTCCTTCGCTCTCTGTCCACTCTTGTTGTTTTTTTGAAATTTGATTGGAACCTAATGAAAATGACTTCCATTCTCTTCGTCTTCTCATCTGCTTACCAACTGAAAGACTAGTACCGTGATATCGTAAGGTTGCTGTTGTAATCCAACGTAAGAGGTACGACTCAACCCGCAATGAAATGAAAAAAATCCACGAAACAGGAAAGAATGCCTCCCACTTGGCCTTTACGAACAGGCGTGGACAAGAAAGAACCAAACAGACAGTACTTTAGAGAGAACGAGGCGGTGAGAAAGGCATTCACCACCAAGTACATCATCGCATCGGTAATAATAAAATACACACAATACATTCCAGTCTCAATTTGCAAGGCGGTAGCGGCCTTGTCGGGCACTTCAACGGGCTGCTAGGCACGGAAACGGTGCTGTTCATCACTTTGTTCTCACGTCTCCCCTTTCTGCTCACACACTGCATCACCTTAGTATTTTATCGGAACTATCTCTTTGAGCATTTCAAACGCCACACTTCATAGCGCTTCTGGTCGAGACTCATGATAAATAAATAAAGCTATAATAGCTATAAAATTCTCACCTTCTCATCGTAATGCAGTAGTCCTCGGCCGGCAAGAATTGCTGACGTCAGGGCTGCCCAGATCTTAGTGGTTGAGTAGGCGATTGCCATTGTGTCCTCACTCCATGGTTGGTTCTTTTCTCTGGAAAAAACTTCCGTTGGGCAGCGATGAGAATGGGTGCGCTTCAAAATGATCAGAATCACAAGTAATCGTACTGTATTTTGCTCTCAGACTTTATTATACGTCAAATGCTCTTCCAGTTTTCCCTAGGCGGACCTAGAAGTGACGATGACTTGAAATTAGCAGTTTGGTTAGGTTAGCTCAGCTATAAATTCACAACTCAAGCCTATAATTTAATTCAAGTTAGCTAAGGGACGAGTGTTGCTACACAGCAAACGAGGCCGACCCAAGCTGAAAATGAACACTGATTTACCGGACATAATTTGGCCCTTTCTATTTTTTGAAACCTCGTTGCTTGCAAAAAATCTACCAATAAAATTGAGAGTTGCAGTTAAAACGAGAGATTACGATGAAGTGTGTGTGCAAGCATGGAACCACATGCACCAGTGGCAGCAGAAGTCAGGGCCTAAGGAAATGAGATGTGGCCCTTTTGTGGCCGAAGGCTTCCTTTCAGCCCCCATGGGCTGCCAATCTTCTCCTGTGCTCCGCCTACGCAACTCACATGATTGCTACACATCCACTTGGATGGTATTCACTTTCGACTGCGCATACGTATAATGTTCCCATGAATCTGACAATCGAATGAGTCTACGGCTATCAGCATAACATGTGCAAACGACCTCCTAATTTGTTGCTAGCTCGTCCATTATCGGAGGTCAACGGGCAAAGAAAGGGGCTCCATTTTGCGCCGTTCTCGACGGATTTCTTTCGCTATTTTTCGCCACCAGGGCATTCATCATCTTGCTGTAATCCCTCGCTCTAAATAAATTACTCCGAGTAAAAAATAAGTGATACCTGTTAGCATAACCTCCGAACAAATGAACAACAACTTTTCCTCGGTGGAGGACTGCTAGCGCAGCGCCTTCGTTGTCTTGTTGTATCATAGCGCTTAAAATTACCAGTCATTATCGGTTTTTCGCAAAGAAACTCACTCACCTGAATTTCTCGCGAACATGTTCGAAGCTCGGATGGACCTTTCCATGCAATATGACTGTTCGTTTCCTTGAAAATCTCCACCACAGCACAAGCGGTACAGCGATCACGAGAAGAACTTGCCAAAACATACCAGAAAAGCCTTTTTCTAGAAAACCATTATTTCAAAAAGGAATGTGAGTCCTGTGAACGATGTATACATGCAATCAGGAAAGAAGAGCGAGAGCCTATTGAGTTGTTTTTGTTTTGCCCATTCACCGCTATTTTCAGGAAAATCCATGCAATTACATAATAAATAGGGTCATATAGTTTACCCAGTTACCGATTTTGTCTAAGAGTGAGCCAACCATAAGGGATGGCGCTGGTTAGCATGTTGCACCTTGATTTGCGGAAACGCTAAACATTTTCCAACACTCTGAAGAATTCACTGAAAGGATTTTACCCCCCCCCCCGCCCCCTCAAACCGAAAGTACCGGAGTCAATTCCATTATACGAAATCGCCTAACTACATCCAGACTTCTTAGGACGGCGAGAGTTGGTCTGTACAACAGCAAGTCATCAAGTCATCGTATGAAGCAAATACACATATGTTTCTCCACATTTCTGGTTTAAAGTCAAGTGCGTGGCTCATTAGAAAGAGCTGAATTACCCTGAAGCAAGCCATCCTTTTGCCCAGGAGAACATGAGCGCGAACGCCAGCTTAGGTCTTTCATGATCGCAATTCTTGACTGAATTTCAGAGGAAACCCCTCTACGATTTAGAACGAAGTCGAATATATGGCGCTAAACAAGGGGAATTGACAAATCGCTAAATTTTGCATATCACATTTTTGTTGGAGTTATCTTAGCAGTTAATAGTAACAGTCTGAAAATAATGCAGTGACAAATTTACGAAGAAGGTCAACTAATATAAAAGAAATGAATAATAAAATAATATTTTGTTATCTATCTCTGCACGGATGGGATATTGCGCTTTGTCTTTCAAATGGATTGCTCTGTAATTTGCGGAAACGCTCCAAATTTTCCAACATTCTGAAGAATTCATTGAGAGGATTTTACAGAGGACGCAATAATCGTGGGAACTGATAAAAAGGAGCCGAGCAAGGAAATGTCGATGAAGTG